TATATATACATACACATTTTTTTTTTGAAATAAATGAATAAATAATGTCTGCGACCATTAGTGAAACTTTTTGGGCATTTTTTTTTTCATCTCTAATACATCTCTAAAACATTCTCACAGATTTTAGAGCAAAATAAATGTGGGTATTTAAATTTGCACTTTCCTAATTTAACAAATGTTTAAATATTTTTTTTATATACTTCTGTAATAAAAATACAATTAATTAATTAATTAATAAAGTCTGAGACCACTCGTGAAAATATTTTCAATATGGACTTTCCTAATTTAACAAATTTTAAACAAAATGACAAATTAAATAAAAACAAACAAACAAACAAGCAAGCAAAAAAAGTCTGAGACCACTTTTTTGAAAATTTTGGGGCATATTTTTAATCTCTAATGTTACTCTAAAACATTCTTTTATGGATTTTAGTGCAAAATACATAAAATAAAAGTGGGTTATTTAATTTCCTAAGTTAACACAAATGTATAAATAAATAAATCTGAGACAACTCATCAAAATATTTTCAATCTGCACTTTCCTAATTTAACACAAATGTTTAAATAAAAGTACAAATTATACAAATAACTAAAAACTCTGAGGCAATTTTGAAAATATCTCTCTCTCTCTATATATATATATATATATATTTCCTTCTATGTAAATGACCTTGTATGTTATAATGCTAAATTGACACGGCATGATTACTTTCACATCAGAGTTTCTTTCCCCTATGGATGATGAGTCTGTGTCTTAATGCAAGAGGAGACCGAAAAGAACAAATGAAAAGGGGGATACATACTATTTTTGCATTCTTGCCACTTTTCCGAAGTTGTTGCACTGCATATGCGTGATCCACGTTATCCATGGAGACGGCGTTAACCATCACCACTCTGTCATTCTCCCTGCCGGGGGCAAAGAGAGCAGAAAGCAGTAAGCAAAAGTGCCACTCCAACTGATCTCAACACAAGATGGAGCAAAGCTTGATCAGCAGCACTGTGCGCTCATGCGTTTACATGTTAAGAAACTCCATCAGGGTGAAGAGCAGTTTTCAAATAACTTGATACAAATAAATGATATAATAGATTAAATAAACAAAAGATTCCCTTTTTTTTTTTTTTTAGTAATTAGAGCATTCTGGGAAATAAAGACTTTCACCATGGTCCATAAATGTAATATATTTATTTGAAAATAAAATAAATATACAGTGGGGTTAAAAGTCTGAGACCACTAGTGAAAATGCTTTTAATTTTGTCCTAAATTTGAAAAATACAATGTTTCAATACAAATTAAATAAAGTACTGAAAATGCTTTTAATTGCACTTTTTTATTTTAATACAAATGTTTTTGATGCAAATAAAGTAATATTTAAAGAGTACTAGTGAAAATGCTTTGAAATTACACTTTAATACAAATGTTTTTGATACAAATTAATAAAAAATAATAATATTTTGAGTGCACTAGTGAAAATGCTTTTAATTTGCACTTTTCTAATTCAAATGAATGATTTAAAGGGTCATGAAACCCCAGACTACTTTTTCTGAGATTTTAGCAGAGGTGTTTGTGTTGCACATCATAGAAGACAATGTTAGCATCCGATAATTTTAACTGTTGTAGAAAACTGGTTAATTTTAAGCTTTTTTTGCGCTAGCAAATGGCTGTGCATTTATTTGTGTTTTTATCTCGATGGGAGTGAAATGAAACTGTCTGAACCCGAAGCTGTGTGTGTTGTCTGTCTCTTCCCCCTCCACTCACAGCGCATCACGCCCACTTTTTTTAGCGTTTTTTAAAAACTGTGGTGAGAACTAACCAGTGCTGAAACAGGGGGTTTCATGACCCTTTAAATAAAAATTTAATAAATTAATATTTGGAGTGCACTAGTGAAAATGCTTTTAATTTGCACTTTTTAAAATTTAATACAACTGTTTTCGATACTAATAAATTAATATTTTGAGAGCACTAGTGAAAATGCTTTTAATTTGCACTTTTTTAAATTTAATACAACTGTTTTCGATACAAATAAATTTATATTTTGAGAGCACTAGTGAAAATGATTTTAATTTGCACTTTTTAAAATTTAATACAACTGTTTTCGATACAAATAAATGTATATTTTGAGAGCACTAGTGAAAATGCTTTCATTTGCACTTTTTTAATTTACTACAACTGTTTTCGATACAAATAAATGTATATTTTGAGAGCACTAGTGAAAATGCTTTCATTTGCACTTTTTTAATTTACTACAACTGTTTTCGATACAAATAAATTAATATTTTGAGAGCACTAGTGAAAATGCTTTTAATTTGCACTTTTTTAAATTTAATACAACTGTTTTCGATACAAATAAATTTATATTTTGAGAGCACTAGTGAAAATGATTTTAATTTGCACTTTTTAAAATTTAATACAACTGTTTTCGATACAAATAAATGTATATTTTGAGAGCACTAGTGAAAATGCTTTCATTTGCACTTTTTTAATTTACTACAACTGTTTTCGATACAAATAAATGTATATTTTGAGAGCACTAGTGAAAATGCTTTCATTTGCACTTTTTTAATTTACTACAACTGTTTTCGATACAAATAAATTAATATTTTGAGAGCACTAGTGAAAATGCTTTTAATTTGCACTTTTTTAAATTTAATACAACTGTTTTCGATACAAATAAATTTATATTTTGAGAGCACTAGTGAAAATGATTTTAATTTGCACTTTTTAAAATTTAATACAACTGTTTTCGATACAAATAAATGTATATTTTGAGAGCACTAGTGAAAATGCTTTCATTTGCACTTTTTTAATTTACTACAACTGTTTTCGATACAAATAAATGTATATTTTGAGAGCACTAGTGAAAATGCTTTCATTTGCACTTTTTTAATTTACTACAACTGTTTTCGATACAAATAAATTAATATTTTGAGAGCACTAGTGAAAATGCTTTTAATTTGCACTTTTTTAAATTTAATACAACTGTTTTCGATACAAATAAATTTATATTTTGAGAGCACTAGTGAAAATGATTTTAATTTGCACTTTTTAAAATTTAATACAACTGTTTTCGATACAAATAAATGTATATTTTGAGAGCACTAGTGAAAATGCTTTCATTTGCACTTTTTTAATTTACTACAACTGTTTTCGATACAAATAAATGTATATTTTGAGAGCACTAGTGAAAATGCTTTCATTTGCACTTTTTTAATTTACTACAACTGTTTTCGATACAAATAAATTAATATTTTGAGAGCACTAGTGAAAATGCTTTTAATTTGCACTTTTTTAAATTTAATACAACTGTTTTCGATACAAATAAATTTATATTTTGAGAGCACTAGTGAAAATGATTTTAATTTGCACTTTTTAAAATTTAATACAACTGTTTTCGATACAAATAAATGTATATTTTGAGAGCACTAGTGAAAATGCTTTCATTTGCACTTTTTTAATTTACTACAACTGTTTTCGATACAAATAAATGTATATTTTGAGAGCACTAGTGAAAATGCTTTCATTTGCACTTTTTTAATTTACTACAACTGTTTTCGATACAAATAAATTAATATTTTGAGAGCACTAGTGAAAATGCTTTTAATTTGCACTTTTTTAAATTTAATACAACTGTTTTCGATACAAATAAATTTATATTTTGAGAGCACTAGTGAAAATGATTTTAATTTGCACTTTTTAAAATTTAATACAACTGTTTTCGATACAAATAAATGTATATTTTGAGAGCACTAGTGAAAATGCTTTCATTTGCACTTTTTTAATTTACTACAACTGTTTTCGATACAAATAAATTTATATTTTGAGAGCACTAGTGAAAATGCTTTTAATTTGCACTTTTTTAAATTTAATACAACTGTTTTCGATACAAATAAATTAATATTTTGAGAGCACTAGTGAAAATGCTTTTAATTTGCACTTTTTTAAATTTAATACAACTGTTTTCGATACAAATAAATTTATATTTTGAGAGCACTAGTGAAAATGATTTTAATTTGCACTTTTTAAAATTTAATACAACTGTTTTCGATACAAATAAATGTATATTTTGAGAGCACTAGTGAAAATGCTTTCATTTGCACTTTTTTAATTTACTACAACTGTTTTCGATACAAATAAATTTATATTTTGAGAGCACTAGTGAAAATGCTTTTAATTTGCACTTTTCTAATTTAACACAAATGTTTTGATACAAACTGGGCGTGATCAATTAATATTCTTGTTGGAAATAGCCCATAGCATTTTTAAGGGTAATTAATAAAAATTGTGTTTTAATAAAAACATGTCATGTCATGTTATTTAAATATTGAATTTATCAAAATGCATCAAATTCAGGAATGAAACTGGAGCTGAATTGGCATTGTCATGGTAAAGCGGGTCAGAGAGGAGTCTTACTGCAGCAGGCCCTCGGCTGGGCCTCCCTTCAGCACATCAGATATGACGATGGATGTCTCCCCGCTCTGAAAGTGAGGGTTATCCCTCCCGCCTGAGATAGCGATCCCGAAGCCAAACCCTGGAGCCTGCGAGACACACAACGACATGTTCACAAACAACGCCAAAACATTCAAATCACACAGGAAGAGCTGGAGAGGGACAGAATGGGACAGAGAGAATGAAAAGATAAGATGGGAGATGTGGGAGGAGAAGAGAAGGAAGATAAATGAGGGGATGTGATGGTCAGAGAGATACAGAGAGAGGGCAGAGAGACAGAAAGATCCTATCACAGATATAAAGAGGAAAAAAACAATATGATAAACCTGCAAAAGCCACCTCAATTCTGCAACAGAACACAGACGGCTCACTTGATAAATTTTAACAGTTGCTATTTGAAATGACACCATAATCGCAGATAACCGATATATAGTGTGCATTAGTGCAGACTGTCTTCTCTTCCAGGTCAACTGTGGTCATGGTGGATAAACAGTTTGTAGTCAATGTTAAACTGTCGAAATGTTCATAGCTGGTCAGCAGTACAACAGTACTGCATGATTGCAATGCGTTAGCCAAGCGTGTGACCGTGACAAAACCACAACGCAAAAATAACTGAACTTTCCCCAAAACGCATTTAGTAACTTTCATTAGGACTTAACCCAATAATGTACAACTCAAAATATTGCTTTGTTGTCCCGTGAAAAGTTCGAAATATCCAGACAATCTAAATCCAAGTTGATTTTATAACTCTTTAATATAACTGTGTTGTTCTTGCTAAAAAGACCCCATAAAAGTGTTTGACGAGTGGCTTCTTTCCTGTTTTGAGGTGTCTCCTATTCTAGACGATTCTGGACCTACGCAGTGCCTGTGACACCAAGTGTACCATACATTGTATTTGAGTAATGCAACAAACCTACAATTCAAATGTAACTTAATGGATTACTTTCCTTAAAATGTATTTAGTAACTTTTTTTAGGGAGTAACCCAATAATACATTACATAATATAAGTTAGTTTCCTCGTAAAAAATTCTAAATACCCATGCAATATAAGTTTAGCTGAAGAGCAACATTTCTTTTGGTTTCTCTCCTGTTTTGTGGTACTTCCTATTAAAAATAAGTTTGGACAGAATTTACTTTATTTTAGCCAAAGGTTATAGTTTACATCAAAGTTGCAACCATGACTTGTTACTTTGAGTCTTGATTTCATGAGGTCTTTAAAACAAGCAAAATAATCTGTTAATGGAATGCAATAAAACATATTTATATCATAAATAATATAAGATATAAACAAGATATTCACTGACAAGTAAAACAAGACAATATGCTCCGAATGATTCACAAATCAACAGAGACGATTAAATTCTCACCCTGTGTAGAGTTACAGTGTGCTGTTCCCATATTACGGTCTCCTCCATTGCAGCACTCTGTATTGAGAGAAAAGAAAAAAAACAAATAACAGAAAGAAAGAGATTAATAGAGAAACACACAAATCGTTAGATTACCATCAACAAGTTTAATTGGCTACATTCCCACGCGGCCTAAAGGATGCAGATGCATTCATTAAAATCAAACGGGTTACACACACATTCAGAAATGTCTTTGAAAGAGGCTCTGCGCTTAACATCCGTAAAAGCATCCCTAGAGTGTAAATGATCTTCCTACACGTTATGTAACAGACAAGAAATAACAAAGGTGGTGCATCCTCATGCTAGGATTGAGGAGAAGAAAGGACGGGGAAAGATGTCTCTGCTGACGTCCAGCGAAGCTACCTGAGGTGCTCAAGCACTGATTTATTCATTTCTCCATGGCTTCTGCAATGCAGTCACCTCACATAGCAGATTCACACAGTCATGGCAACAACACCAGCGCCGCACAATTGTGCTCTTATAGAAAATAAGATCACTGGGAAAAACCGTCACGATCTATTCACACGTAGTTGTATGTAAGCTATAATGGTTGTTACCGCAAAATAAACAGCAGCAGGGTGAAGCGGAGGGATTAAACGTGAGCTTCATGGTTTAAACTGTGAGCATGAAGGATTGTAGGTTGTAGCTCTAGAAACTGTGCCACCCACTCAATCACGCCCGTTGGCAAGACCTTAAGTGAGGAAATCCTTGAAGGATGAGGAATGTCAGTGGTGTCAGGGCCGGAGACAGCACCTGGCAGGATATCCACCCCTTCACACACACACACACACACACACTCTCATCTATTAATAGTGATTCTTCACTCTCTCCTCATACAAGATTCTTCATTTCACTAAAGACGAAATCTGTCATTGTGATCAAGAAGACCACGTAAAAGATCCCTGAACATTTGTTAAATCTTCAACCTAAATTTACAAGGATGTTTATTTACTGTATGTTTTGGGAGGGACAAAAACAACTTTTCAGTGTTAATAAGGCATATTAACACACAAAGTTAAAATAAGCAATAATAACAAAAATTCTCATGTCAACTGTAGCCAATTAGACTCAAAAATGTTTACAAAAAAATGAAAACATATATACTAAGAATCTAGATAAAATCAACTAAATGAAAAAGAAAAAATGAAGGAAAAATATTTTATAATATTAAAAATATTATTCTAATACTAAAAAAAATTCCCATTATAAAAAACAATTACTTATATACTTACAGTATTATTTACATACTATTATAGCACTACATTTTGAATTGGTTTCTATTTTTACATTTTCAGTTTTCATTTTAATATTAGTTTACGTTTTAGTAATTTTATTATGTGCCAATTTCTATTATTTTTTTTTATTCTATTTAGCTTTATTTTTTATTTCAGTTTTAGTTTTGGTCATTTTAGTACTTCAACTTAAAATTATTTCAATTTGTTGCAAAGGTCATATTTTTACATTTTTTCATATTTTTTTATCTGCTACAGATACACTGTATAAAATATACAATAATAAACAGCATTATTTAATTTATCAATAAATTACCATTAAAGTCCAATGGCTCAAATATGAGACACACACACACACAAAAAAATTCTGACCATAATTCAGCCTTTACAGTATTAAATGATCCCAAACACTAGACCATTTTCAGCATGCAACAGTAAAGCGTGTGTCTGCAAATCCACAGATGCAGTAGGCTGGATGTTTAAATGGAGAAGGTTTTTGTAACAAATGGAAACGGTGATGAGAGGTTGATGGCCTTCTGTGTGCAGCCCAAACGACTGACTCCTGACCTCACGGTGATAGAGGAAGGATGAATGACGTCCCCGTGTCACATCGTCACGAGCTGAGAGATCAAGTCTCAGTCCATCCGTCTGGTGCCTTTGACCTCGCAGATAATAACTCAGGTCTCGTCCGCTTCACGCTCTGAGCTCTCTTTACATCGGGCCCGTCTCAATCCGCACACATCTTGTTAGCGCACAGCTAGTTAAACAGATCTACTACAATCTGACAGCAAGAGTTATGGTTATCGGTCTCTTGCCAAGGCTAAAAAAACGGCTGTAACTCAACCGCACTCTGATCCCTTTAATCTCAACTGCGTTTTATAAAGCACCCGTGAACGAATTCTGAAGATCAAGCAGTTTTGCTTCGACTAGCACGCTAATCTGACCAAATGAAGTCTGTCGACGAGAGGGACTCATTGGTCAAAACTCTGCTATCTTTTTGTGATACACTTTGTGGTCTTTTATTCACCATCCATATTTATGGTCTCTATCAGGACAGGTTGAATATTCCGTTCCCTTCCGGACAATCTGACGCACCTCCCTGTATCTCTCTCGTAATGTCAGCGCATCAGCCAAACAAGCTAGGTCTGACGATTATTGTGTAATGAAACATGACTGACGGGGTAGGAATTCATATCAAACCCACAGCAAGAAATAATAGGGAGGGAGGGAGGAGGAGAGAGAATCTGAGGGCAGTGCATTGTGGGAAATGTGCTGACCTAGGGGACAATTACTGCAAGCTCAACCCTTAACCTGTGCCCTGCATGACAATGAGGAGCTGCTGGGATTGATCGGGTGCTATTAACATATCCTGCATCTCTACGAGGCTTGTTAAAGCCACAGCTACTCTCAGCGGCATAGTGGTGCTGTACGAAAACATAAGCTAGACAAAGCTATACTAAAAAAAGAACAACTTTAGTCGGGATAGATGACATATTAATTTTTTGTGATGCAAATAAATATGAGGCCAACTAGTCAAATCAACTACAATCTAGCGGCAGCGCTCAAATAAAGATGAATTTGGAGACGCAATTTCTTTAAGAAGGTTTTAGCATGGCATGATAAATGTTAAAAACAGATACTTTTAGAAATGTTACATAAAAAATGTTCTGTAACACTTACATTCTGTTTTGTTCTGTCCAGCTGTACATTTGATCAAAGAAACTGCATGGTCAGTTACTTAAAATTTAACATTGAATGAGCAACCTTGTTGTTGATCTTTCAAATGACAAAACTTTGAGAATATATTTGTCAATATAATTACAGTAGACAAAAATAAAATAAGCTTTAATTATTATTATTATATAATTATTATTACCATCATCAATAAATGGATATTAGAGCTTTATAACGTTAATAAAATCAAATAAATAAAACAGTAAAAACTATTTTTGGCATCACAACAATGAACAATGTGAAAAAACAGATATTAACTTTTGATATACATTTAAGTTTTACTAAATGATTACTTAAAAAAAAAAAAAAAGAATTTTAAGAAAGCAGCACAACCGATTTCAACATTGATGATAATAGGAAATGTTTCTTGAGTAGCAAATCAGCATATTAGAATGATTTCTGACGGATCATGTGACACTGAAGACTAGGGCTGGGTATCGATTCAGATGTCCCGATTCGATTTCCATTCGCAAGCTCTCGATTCGATTCGATTCGATTCTCGATTTTTTGATTACATTCCGTGAATATAGTTTTAATACAAATGCTTTAATATTTATTAGCAGTAGTAGCATTGATTCTTAAGACTGCTAAATAGTAATATATTCTGACAGTTTCTTAACGTTAAACTAAACTTTTATTTTGACGGGTTGCCGTGAAGAACTTCCAGCTGCTGTGTATATGATATGATGGTAGTTTTCTCAAATGAAACAGTAAAATGCTAAAGAAATTACTCTCAAAGCAGCTGGAGATGACATTCGTGTTCATATCATCAAATAGTGTGACGGCAGAAGCTGAAAACACCGCGAGCGTCATCCGCGCTTTAGTATGTGTGTAGTAAACAAAAAAGTGCACCGCACCATCCGCCATTCATTCATTGCGGAAATCATGGCGCCTTTGCATGATATCAAATGCTTCCGCAGATTTATAGTATTACTATAGCATTTCACCTGAGCATTGCGAATCACGCGTATGGCCATGATAAGCGCTGAATGAATGACAGGCTTTCTGTTGTAACATCGCGCAAGGTAAATAAGGGTGACATCTAGTGGAGAAGACTAATGATAAGATTCACGTTAATCAGATCTTGTTTTAAATGTGTGCTGAAATAAATACAGGAAAAGATCGATTCGTGGCTTTTGAGAATCGATATCGAATCGTCGTCATTTAAAAAAACGATTAATCGAAAAATCAATTTTTTTTGCCCAGCCCTACTGAAGACTGGAGTAATGATGCTGAAAATTCAGCTTTACACCACAGGAATAAATTATGTTTTAAAATATAATACAATTAAAAACAGTCGTTTTAAATTGTAATAATATTTCACAATATTACCCTATTTTCAACCAAATAAACAAATAAAATGTGCATAAAACATGGGTTCTGAAAATTTGACAAAATTTGAATGGAATGCATGAACTGATAAACCTTGAATCTAATGTACTGTAAATTTTAAAGCAATGCAATCAATGGTTTAATCCATGAGCCTGCAATGCAGCAGATCACTGCAACTGAATGTGAATAGAGAAAATGATTAAACTCAAACCAAAAGCCAGACTAATCCTTCAAAATTATTCAAGCTCATAGTTGATAGTTGAGGAAAGACGACTACAAGAGAGATTTCATATCAGGACATGACCAAAGTTAGAATCAAACCTGTGTCTTTGTGAGCATAACAGCTCCTTTCAGCCAACTGGGACATCACTCAGCCCACTCAGATTCAGTCAGTGACTCCAAATCACTGCCTTCATTCCCTCCGCAGCTAACAAGCCCATTACATCACGTGGAAGGAAGTGGATCACAAATTCCATCTGCCTCTTGTACAATCTATTCCTCTCTCCCTTGTTGAATGTTAAAAAGTGTAAACGTTCAGTGCATCCAACAGAGATGGGCAATTCCAAGTGTTCTGTAACTAATGCTACTTACGTTGAACGAGCGCACTCGAGATCTGTCAGATCTGCCGTCCGGGGCATTAGACAGTCACTCTACGGAACAACAGGCTGAATCATAGAAATCTACCGTACAAGAAACCAAACAGCACAGGGAGATGGTAAT